AGATAGATAGATAGATAGATAGATAGATAGATAGATAGATAGATAGATATAGATATATATGAAGAGCCACTGGGTCTTAATGTGTATATATTTATCTTCTTAAGAAGGGGATAAAGTGATTTCTAAAGGTCATTCCTACATACAACATACGAAGACACTCAGGTTTTCTCACATTCTTCAAACTCTTGCCAAGCTCAGCCTTTTAAATGTTAGCAGTTCCAGTAGGTGTACATTGTGGTTTCAGTTTCATTTCCCTGATTCTTAATCATATTGAAGAGCTTATGCTTGTCACGTCTTTTTCTTTTCTCTGTTGAGCTCTTTATTAAAATATTTTTCTTATTTAAAAAATGAGTTATTTTCTTGTTACTAAGTTGTAAGTCTTCTTCATATAATCTAGACATAATTTGATATGTATTTTTACAAATATTTTCTGCTAGTCTAAGGGCTGCCTTTACTTTTCTTCAAAAAATTATCCTCTAAAAGGCAATGTTTTGGGGCCTCCCTGGTGGTGCAACGGATTGAGACGCAACCTAAGAAGCTCTCTATAGCCGCTGCGGCACGAGTTCGATCTACACACATGGCACAGCAGACCTCTACTGACTCACCCGTTGCTCCCCTCAGCAGTGTATTTCAGTGGATCTGCTTGTCCTGTTCCCCACTCTGTCTCTGGTGAATCCTTTCACCACCCCCACACCTCTGTCCTGTACCCCAGTTCTTGTATGCATAAATAAATAAATCTTATAAAAAGAGAAATTATTAAAAGGCAATGTTTTTATTTTTATGAAGTTCAGCTTACCATTTTTTGTACTTTTTGTGTTTAAGAAATTTAGCCTAAAAGAATGTGAGAAGGATCTCCTTTGTTTCCTCCTAGAATCTTTATATTACTATTAAATTCATAAGTCTATAGTAATTTTTAATTATATTTTGAATATATTTTGTATATATTTTGTATATGGTGTCAGGTAAGGATGGAGTACATTTATTTTGCTTTGACCTTGGATGTACAATTGTTGAAAAGATTATCATTTTTCAACTAAATTACCTTGGCACCATTGTTGAAAATCAATTGACCATATATGTGTGAATTTATTTCTAAATTCTGGATTTGATTCTATCAATCTAAATGTCTATTTTTACACATTACCATGCTGTTTTGATTGCTAAGGTAGCAAATTAAATCTTAAAATCAGTTGGTTATTTCTTCTGTGTTTCCTTTAAACAATTGTTCAGTTTATGTACATTTAATAGATTGTTGATTTAAAATAAAGCCTTATGAGAATGTACTTGAGTTGCATTACATCTATATTAGCTGGGGGGAAATTATCTTTACAATACTGAGTATCCTCTCCACAAAAAGTGTGTTAGAACTAACAAATTATTTCAGTAAAGTTATAGGATACAAAATCAATGCGCAAAAATAGAATTGCTTTCTGTACACCAGTAATGAACTATCAGAAAGATAAATTTAAGAAACCAATAGCATTTACAACAGCAACAAAAAGACCAAAATGCTTAGGAATAAATTTAACCAAGGAAGAGGACAATTTGCACACTGGAAATTATTAAGCATAGGTGGAAGAAATTGAAGAGGACACAAATGTAAAGACAGTCTGTGTTTACAGAAGGGAAGGATGAATATTATTAAATGCCTATACTACTCAAAGCAGCTTACGAATTCAGGGTAATCCCTATTAAAATTAAAATGGTATTTATCACAAAAATAGAAGAAAATTCCTAAAGTTTGGAAAGACCCATTTAAAACCTCAAATAGCCAAAGCAATCCTGAGAAAGAACAAAGTTGAAGGCATCACCCTTCCTGACTTCATTCTCTATTACAAAACTAAAGTAATCAAAACAATATAGCATTGATTGGCATTGAAACAGACACATAGAACAATGGAACAGTATAGAGAACCCAGAAATAAACTCACACATACATGGTTAATTAATTTTTGACAAAGGGTCAAAAATCCACTAGAGTTTAGTCAATGATTCCTGGAAAATTGGATAGCACACGCATAAGAGTGAAACTGAGCTCACACCATACAAAAATCAATTCAAAATGGATTAAAGTCTTAAATGTAAGACCAAAACCCATAAAACTCTTAGAAGAAAACATATAAACTGTTTGATATTGGACTTGGCAATAATTTTTTGGATATGAAACCAAAAGCAGAGGGAACAAAAGCAAAAATAAGCAAGTGGCACTACTCAAACTGAAAAAATTTTCACAACAAAGGAAACCACCAAGAAATGAAAAAGAAGCATATAGAATGGAAGAAAATGTTTGCAAAACACATATCCAATGAAGGGTTAATATCTAAAGTTACCTAAGGAATTCATATGACTCAATAGCAAAAACAAAACAATCCAACAACAGTTAAGAAATGTCTGAAGGACTGAATAGACATTTTTTTCCAAGAACATAAAAAATGGTATATGAGAAAGTACTTGACATAAATGCTTGACATCACTAATCACTAGGGAAGGGCATATCAAAATCACAGTATCACCTCATACCTTTTGGGATGTCTATTATAAAGATACAAGAGGTGAATGCTGGTGAGGATATGGAAAAGGGGGAATTCTGGACACTGCTAGTGGGGATGTCTCCTGGACTTGCCACTGTGGAAAACAGTAGAGAGGTGCCTGCAAGAATTAAAGTAGAGTTGCCATATGATCCAGCAACCCCACTTCCGGGCACATAGGCAAAGGAGACAAAACCATTATACTGAAGAAATACCTGCACTGCCAGGTTCACCAGAGCCCTGTCTACAATAGCTAAACAAAACAATTTAAGTGTCTGTTTACAGATTAATGGATAAAGGAAATGTGGCATAGATGAATGTTTACATACATATGATGGAATATTGTTCAGCTATGAGAAATTCTGCAATTTGTGGGCACATGGGTGAACTTGGAGGGTACTGTAATAAATAAAATAACTCAGAAAAAAAAAGGCAAATACTTCATGGGATCCCTTTTAAAAAAATAGAATTTTAGATACAAAGTGGAGATGTGGTTTAGTGGTAGGGGAATTGCCTGTGGTTTAGTGGTAGGGGAATAGGGAGAGATGGTGAAAGAGTACAAATGTACTCCTTATGTGAATATGGCATATTTGTTAGCTAACAACTAAAATTTATATATTGTTATATTACAGTACTATTTACAATAGCCAATGGATTGATGAATGGTTAAAGATATGTTTTATGCATAATGGGATACTGTGAAATTCTGCCTTTTGCAGCAACATGGAACCTAGAGGAAATTATGCTTAGTGAAATAAGTTAGAACAAGACAAAATACCACATGATTTCACTCATAGGTGGTATATAGAGAAAACAAATAGATACAAACTAAATAAAACAAAAATAAATATTTGGATTACAAAGAAATAAAAATTAAATAAGATGAACTTCTTATCTTCAATAATACATTATTATGAATTAAAGTCCACACTTTTTACAGATTTCCCAAGTTTTCATCCACTGTCCTTTTTGTTCCAGGATCATGACAATACCCTGGATGTGATCTGATAATCTGACTAGTATGTTTGTCAGTTTTCTCCAGTGTAAACTTACTACTTCCCCCCGTTTGCTTATTGTACTTTTTTTTGAAAGCACTCACTATACAGAGAGCATACCTTAGGACTGAAAGTTATATTTTCTTTCACATATGTTAGTAAGGACTCACAATTCAGCTCCAAAACATGATATTAACACACAATCTATGCTTATTAATTTTGTGGAGTTGTTCAGTACAGCTGTTGTGGTAGCATGTGGCAGACGTGAAAACTCCAGCTCAATTAAGTGAAGTTCTTACTCAGATGGTTAGAACTTGCTTGGGCAGAAAGCCAAAGAATAACTACCATCTCAATAAGCATGTAGCTCACTGGAAATTCATCCCTCTTGCCTTTTTTCTAAGACAATCAGCCACGCAAGATAATCACTGAAGTTAGAAAGTTAAAATTCAGAAGGACCACCCTTTGGGAGTGTAGAGAATCCAATAACTGTCCACCTCTTGGGATGATGACCCATCGGACTGACTCATCAAGGTTCTAGAGCCAGACTGTGATGATTTGATCTTGGCTCTAGAGCCCCTTACTAGCTGTGTGGTCTTAACTCTCCCAAGTCTCAATTTTCTCATCAGTAATATGACATAAATACAGTACTTTCATCATATAGTTGTTACAAGGAATACCTAAATGAGTTAATGCACAAAGGGTTATGTAAAATGAGCTAGTACATAATTTGAGACTTGGAAGAATATCTGGCATTCAGAATACATTTGATTGTTGGCCATTTCATAACTGTCATTATTTTAAAACTACTGATAACCCATTAAGAGGGTCCTGTACAATCTCAGGAAGTAAAGAAATTTTTTCCTTGATTGCATGTGTTTTCTTTCTTTTTTTTTTTTTTTTTGCTTCTGTTATCTGTCTCCAATTCTACAGAGCTTTGCTGTCTCCTAAGCCTCCAAGCTGCAAATTGAATTGATAAAATAATCCCCCATAATTGCTTAAGATGTTTCTTCTCCTAGGAGCATTTGCATTTTTATAGGCGACACTGGAAGATACAAAAACTTCTTAGTTCTAATAAATTAATTGTTGTTTGAGGCTGTTCCGGCAGGCACCACACAATTGCAGGGGTGGCAGAGTTGGCAGCCAGTGAAGGAAATAATTTGGTTTAGTGGTTTTCAAAACTTGCTCACTGGGTTCTCTGGGAATATGAAGGGAATAAAGAAATAACTCAAAGGAGCCTATATCCCCTAGCACCTGTAGGCTCTCTTTTAGTTCTACATTGAATCTGTCTACATGGAAAAGAAGATTTTAAATTCATAGGTTTAGGGAAAGTTACTCTTATAAGCCTTAGTTTTTTTGTTTCATTTGTTTGTTTTTTGAAGGACTGGATTGATATAGAAAAAATATTTCTTACCAGAAGGGTCTATAAATCTCTGTGACTCTGACAACACCAACCTGATGGCTTAGAGTGATGCTTAGAGTGATGGCTTAGAGTGATAACCCCGCTACTGCTCACAACATATGCACCTTCCTCTCATTGTTACCAGGGGACCTGGACCCATCAAGCTCAGTGAGTACCAAGGGTCGTCGTGCAATTGACGTACTGAGTACTGAGACAGCTGAACTCATCAAATGTCAAAGTTCTCTTGAATTTCCTACCTACAAATATGTTTCTTTTGCAAATTCAATGAGGTTTACCTAACACTTTTTTCTCATCATAAAAACAACAGCCAATCTGTTGTATCCTCTTTTTGCTTGTCATAATTCCCTAAATATAGTACATCAAATATTTACATAATGTTTTACATTATAGTAGATACTAGAAGTAGTTTTGAGATGATCTAATGCATATGGGAGGATGTGCATAGGTCATGTGCAAATTCTACACTGTTTTATGCAAAGGACTTGAGCATCTATGGAGTTTGTTATTCCCCAGGGTCCTGGGTCTAGTCCCTATTAGACACTGAGCAATGACTGCATAGCAAAATTATTCCTTACTCCTTTAGTATCATACCTCCCACCCCAGCATCAACACAGCATGCACCTTTAAATGTGATGTGTTTAAGTATCATCATTCACTGTTAGAACAGGAAGAGGCATGAGAAAGGCCATCTTGAACAACTGCCTACCAGGGAAGAGATTTCCCTTTATTATATATCATAGAAGACAATATTTTAAAATACTGTAAATGGAAAAACATTGTAAAATTTCTTTAAAATACAGAGCACATCCTATAGAGACTGGCATCTGAAAATTGCCTGAGTTAAGTTTCATAAAATGCCTGAGGTGCTATACAGTAATGGTTGGTTCCTTAAGTAAGAATGACTGGAAATATCAACAGTGGCAGGATTGCTGGGCTAGAAAGAAAGTCTACACTGCCAGCTATACTCTTCCTTCATTAACAGCTTTCTTCCCCCTTTCTGTGGGGAAATCAAATCCAATTTTCTCATCCAACCAATTATGCTTACCATGTCTGATATTTTCTCTGCTTCACTGGCCTCCAGATGTAAATCATTAACAAAGAACACAATATTAATTCCTATTGATTCCTACTTGGGGGTGGCTGGACGAAAGACCTGACTAGGGTGTGGGTTGTGCTTTCATAGTAGAAAGGGATCAAGAACTGGTTGTGTTCCCAATCTTTTGAAGCAGACTCAAAATGTATTATACCATTTGGGGGTTGAGATAGTAAACTAGACAGGGGGAGATTGTGCATGGGTTATAGGAAATTTTTATCTGGCTAGCCTATTTTTTGACTGAAAGTTGGGGTTTGGGAGCTCTTGCTGCACTTAGATACATATTTTAGGTTGATCACAGGTAAAAATTCCCAATCCAAGTTTGTATGAGGCCGGACAAATGGGCGGATGACCTCTTTGAATGGGAAGTGGCTCCGGGTCCTTAACAAAGGGGTTATCCAAAAAGAAGCAAATGGGGACAGTTGTTTAAGGCAGAAGCCAAGAAATAATAAACCACATAGATGCATGAGCTGAGACAATTTTTGTTCTTTACTCTAAACCTCAACAGTGGCCTAAGTGATTCTTGACCTTGACCCAAGACAAAACTCTTTTCAGAGGTGGCCCTACACTAAGGCTACTTGGACACCTTAAAAGAGATGACAATGACTGAGTTTGTGCTCACGTTCAAACTCAAAACATTATGGTCAGACAAAGGAGAGGGCAGAGCTCTTTTGACTGCCTTTCCCTGACTTCCCATGTAAAGCTCTGGTCCCATTCACCTGCAGCCACCTCACAGATCTCACACACATGCCTTGTTGCTCTTTAGTTCTATTAGCTTAACTCTATTAGCTTATCTTTCTTTCTTGGTTTGCAAGTGAGCTGAAGAGTGGTTACCATACCCAGAGACAGTCCTCACATTTCAATTATCTTGTGTAGCACCTTTGAAAAAAGATTTTTTTTAAAGATATATTTACTTATTTATGCAAGCACTGGGTACAGTCAGAAGCAAGGGAGGGTGAGAGAGTTCACCAGAGCCAGAGCGGGGAACAGAACAGGCAGATCAATGAAATACACTGCTGAGGGGAGCAGTGGGCGCGGCAGGAGAGGTCTGCCGCACCATGTGGGACCCTCGCCGGGGGCTGGGGATTGAACCTGTGCTGCAGAGGCTGCGGGTAGCTTTGCAGCCCAGCGCTCAACCGCTGTGCCGCCAGGGGAGGCCCTGAAAAAAGATTTGTTCCGTAAATTGTTAACAAGAGTTTTATGAAAGAGGGTTCATGTGTCACCTCTCAGATTGGAAGGCACATGTCCTGGCTGTGTGAGAGAAACTGGGTTAGTGGAATTGGTGGGAGAGGATGACTGATCCATAAAGAGACCACAGGCTGTCAGTCTATTTTATTTGGCTTGGAGGCAAAAATAATTGAGGAGCTCGGAAGACTAATGATTTTTATTTAAGTAAATGAGGAGGCATGGACACTCAGTCTACCTTCTCAATGAACACTTCGGGAAGCATCCTAGGATCTGTCCTGGGGAAATAGTTATGAATGCATCCTGACCCACGCTTTTTTCCAGAATTAGTTTGTAAGAAGAAGAACTCTCGCTTCCTAACTGGTCTGCAGATGCTGCCATTGCTGGGGAAATGTCATCATTAGAGAATAGAAGACTATTATTTCAAAGAGTGCTTAAGGGTGACTGAATCAGGTCTGGAACATTATTGAAATGGTAAGATGAACTCAACTACTTTCTGATAGGAGAGAAAATCTTTTCTTTTAAATTGCATTCCCTTCTGAAAAATGGCCAAATGTCACCGAATTATTTTCAATGGAATCTTATCTATTATCAGCAAGGAGAGGGACCCAGACTCTAGCTCCTCCTGGGAGCGCTGCTGCTGAGGTTTCTCTCCCTGGAGATCACAGGTAATGGAAGCAGCTGAAGCTGGAGGTCATTAACATTTTGAGAACACTGCAAACTGACACTGCTATGTTATGACATTTCAGCCCACGCCATTTAATCTCTTTTAATCAGTGTTTATGTTGGTGATACTTCATAGTTATTTGCTTCCACATAAAAATGGAACACTTTGGCATGTCATTAACATAAGACTAATTTACTTATTACCCACTGCAATTGTTTCTAGACCTTTCTCCCTCTCTCCTTCCTTTTTCCTCTTCTCTCTTCATCGTTTCTGATGTTGGCTTTTATTGTACTGTTTGGAAAATACCTCCCGTTTTTCTTTTGCTGATGTTCTTGCTGGAAAGATGGTGGTTGGGGTTCATAGTAAATGTTAATTATATAGACTGGCAGAAAAGCAACCTCATGTCTCTGAAAATATGTCCATGGCCCCATTGTCATTGGTAAGAACAACTGATCAGCCCCTGAATGTTGCTGAGAACCTGAGCATGGATTTTTTCTCTGATTTCTCCTCTTACTTCCTTACGATATTGTTCTAAGTGTCTTGCATCTTTTTCCATCTCTTTTTCCGTCTTGTTTATTTTGGGGTCCTCTACCTTCTTATTTTATTTTTTATTTATACAAGCACTGGGTACAGTCAGAAATGGGGGAGGGTGAGAGAAATTGCCAGAGACAGAGCAGGGAACAGAACAGGCAGACTGATGAAGTACACTGCTGAGGGGAGCAGCGGGCATGGCAGAAGAAGTCTGCGTGCCATGTGGGACCCTTGCCCAGCAGCTGGGGATCGAACCGGTGCTGCAGAGGCTGAGGGCAGCTTCGCAGACCGGCGGTCAACTGCTGCGCCACCGGGGAGACCCTCTTCTACCTTATTTTAAAGCCACTTAAACTTTTCCTCCCCGCTCAAAGCCTTTTCGTCAAATGCAAAGCTGATGATTTTTGATTATTTTATATTAGACAAAGAATATTTTCCTTAGCATAAACAAATGATGGCACATTTCAGTCCATAAACTAGGTACAATTCTATTTTTAAATATACAATTTCTATCATAAATCTCCTATTATTCCAAGTAGTCAAAATATAATCTCAGGTTAGCGCCAGGGCCAGCCTTGACACCACTAGCATTTTGAGCTGGGTAATTATTTGACTTGGAGGGCTGTTCTGTGTACCGCACAGTGCTCAGCCACATCCTGGACTTCTCCCCAGCACACACCAACAGCACTGCCCAGTCGTGGCTATCAAATGCGTCTCCAGGTATTTCCAGATGTCTGCTGGGTGCAAAATACAGTTGAGAAACACTGGTTTAGTAGGGTGTCCTCTCTTTCTAAGTTCAAGTTCTAGGGTAAAGACTTAAGGAAGAGTGTTTCTGAAGTCATTATATCCACACAGACTCATCTAGGAAGTCTTCATTCCCATTATAATTTTGGGGCCCTGGAACCTCCAGCTGATGAAAGGATCTCAGAATAGTTGTCTGTGACCTGCTCTCAGGCACAAGGGAGACCTTGCTCCTGCCTAGTTGCAGGATTCTCTGTGAGGGGACACCAGCCCTGTGCCAGTGCGATGCTGGGGAGGCAGGTTGAGAGGCAGGAAAAGAGGGATTTTATTCATTCCAGGGCCTCCCTGCAGCTAGTGATCTGGTTCTATCTGATCTTGGATTCCAACTCCTTTGGGGAGAACATCCTACAGGACACTGAACTCAGGAGCCCGCCATCCTCTGACCTTTGTTGTCACTCCCCACAAATGGGCCATCTTTATGTGGACTGAGCATAGGTTATGTTTTAATACCAAAAATATGTTCTCTGCTCTTCTGCTGTATGATCCTTTCCTTGAGGCAGTGAATTCTGCTGAGTGGACAGATAGGAAGGATACAAGAAAATAAGAGGAAAAAAGTTTGGGTTGAAATTCCAATTTATAAAAAAATCATCGTGTTCTTATTTTAGTGCTATATTTCTGTAGGAATATAAATATTTAGAAAATTAGACAAAGAAACAGGCCATCTTATCATTCACCTGCAGAGCCAGGATAATGGGGAGTCAAGAGATACACAGGAAAGCAAAGGTTTTGGATGATGTTGGTGTCCAGAGCTGGGTGTCCTGTGGGTATGACTCCTAAGATGAAATTGGGAATCCAAAATGATGTAGAATAATTTCATCTGTGTTCTATGGTATTGCTTTGGTTTTACGAATTAAGGACTACTAGTTCTAGACACTGGGAAGTCATTGGTCTTTGCAAGGCCTCTAGTTCATTCCTTACTCCCAACACCCAATATGTATGGTTTATAATTTTCTAGTTGAAAGCATTAGTATAAGCCATTTGTTATTTAATGTAGTTTAAATTTATATGATATATATATATTTCTTTTTTAATTTCACTCAACATTCTGTATTTTGGGATCTAAAGTATTCCCTTTTTATTTGTTTATAGTTGCATTCTTCTGATTACAAATGACTGAGCATTTATCAATCTATTTCTTAAACTTTTAGGTTGCTTTAGCTATGAATTGACTCAATTGTCCTTCATTTTTTTTTAAATATGGAATTTTTAGGCTTTCTTTCATATGCATTAGTTCTGTGTATAGTCTAATGATTTCCTTGTGGGTTTTAGACATGGCAAGTATAATATCTGTTACATTTATGTTAACTCTAGTCACAGAAATTCTTAATTTGGTGTGATCAAATCCACTAATGAAGGATTTCAGGATTTTGTTTAAGAAGTTCTTCCTTAATCCCAGGGCACATTATTTTCTGTCATTATGGTTTTCCTTGGTTTCTTTGTTTATTTTTCTCATCTTTTTTTTTTTTTTTATTGAGGGAACATTGGTTTATAATATAGTATGTAATTTAGCAGCATAGGTTCAAATATCTTTAGATATATGTACTTTAACATATCTGGATTCCATCTTTGTATGTGGTAATAAGTATGAATTGTTCTCAACAGAAAATTTGTTAACATCATTTACTAAAACTGTCTGATTTGTGGTGCCATTATTATTACTTATTTTTTAAATATAAGTCTATCTCACAGTAACCCTGGTCTCTAGATCAGCTTGTCTCTTTTTGCATAATATTATATTATTTTTACTACAATAATCCTATAGTAGTCTTTGTAGCTATTAGACCAAGGTTCCATCTTATTTGATTATCATGATGTTATGTTCTAGAATCATGATTTTTCATAACCAATAGAATTTCATATCAGTCAGTATTTTCGAGGTTAACCAATGAAAGTGGAATTAGGAGGTATTGATTCAACTGCATTCTGGGCAGAGCACAAACATTGAATAGGATTCAACATTCAACTCTGGGAAAGGAACTCTAACTTTGGGTTACATGGATTTTTATGCCACATAATTAAAAAGTACTAGCTTCTAGAAATTCTAGAATTTAAAACCATAATAAATTAATTTAAATCTAAGGAAAGTGTTATAAAGGATAACAGAAACAAATAAATAAAAAAACTAATGAACTATAACATAGATATTTAAAAATCTTATAAAGCACAGAAGGCAGAGACAGATGGGAAGTATAGGAGAGGCTGATAAACATGGAAATCGAATAAGAATTAAAATAAGTAAAAATTCATAGATAAAAATAATAGCAACAAATTAGCAATAACATGTAGCAACACATGATTCAACAGAGCAGTAGAGCTAGGATATGCATCACACAAGTGGTTACTAAAAAGTAACTTTGGGTAAAAAATAAAGACCCAAAAGAATGTAATTTTATTATCTCAAAAATAATAAAATTGAAACATGTTAGAAGAAAAACAGTAATTAGAAATTAAAACTCAGACTACTGGGTTCTATGGGCTTAGGGTGAAGAAGAAGAAAAGGAACAGACAAGTGTCTATGGTGTTGATGATGTTTTCTTTTTAGGCAGTGGTGATTTGCTTTACTTGTTATGTTCATGCCTTGCATATGTCACGTACAGCCCATTTACATAACAAATTTTTCTAAGTAAAATAGTCCACACAAGCATTCTTTAGCTCACAAAGCTTGTCAAATGGGACACTTTTTTCAGTTTTCTGATACAACTCCCTCGTTGAAAATCACTTTCTACCCTCTTTATATATCTTTCCCTGTATTATTTTTAAAATTAAACTTGATTGTTATATTTTAGTTTGCTTTTTAATAATTGTTTATTCCACTTGATGGTAAGATCCATGTGCCAAATTTTATCCATTGACTTCTTCCTCTCCATTTATTGCATTCCTAGCTCCACATGGTGCTCTCGGAGGCTGAAGGCCACAACACCTTAATTCTTTTGCTCTTATATTTTCAGCTGGATTTGCCAATGGGAAGCCCTGGTAGGAGATTGGGATGTGAGAGGAGAGAGATTGAGAAACTGCTTGCCTTGGTTTCCTTATATTGGGGAAATGTCTATATCGATGACCATAGCTTCTTCCAGGCAGCTCTTCTTCCTTTCTTAAGGTCTCTGGTTTTTGTAACATTATGTATCCCTTTCCCATTGGACATTAGGTATGGCAGCAACTTCTTACTTTTGCTGGTCTTGGGTATTTCAACTTCCTTTGTTTATTCTTTAAACACATGTCAAGACCTCTAAATGCAGCTTTTCCTCTTTCATTACAAACATGTAATTTGTACCATGTAGGATAAATTTTGATTCCTGCTAAAATTTCACTATATACTTAGTGTGTCTCATTCACTGCTGTTTCCTCAATATATAGAATAATATCTAATCTAGAAGGAACAAAGGAAAAAGTGAACAAATAAAAATGATAGACTCCCAGTGCCTTAGAGTTTGAAGGGGCTTTAATGGACATATAACAGACGTATCTTCTTCTGTTATAG